AAGACGAGTGCTAACTTAGTACAACGATTTTGGTGGCCTGGTATGTTTGATGACGCAAAGAAGTACGTAGAGACCTGTCAGGTCTATCAGCGGGATAAGCCGCGAACTCAAGCACCGCTTGGGTTGTTGAAGCCTTTGCCTATCCCTGCTGGTCCAGGACAGAGTGTCTCCATGGATTTCATGGACACCCTGGTGACTAGTAAGAGTGGCAAGAGGCACATCTTCGTCATCATCGACCGATTCACCAAGTACGCTAGACTAGTGGCTATGCCAGAGACCGCAAGAACAGACTACGTCATCAAGTTGTTCAAAGACAACTAGGTGCGTGACTTTGGTTTACCAAAGTCAATCGTTAGTGAGCGAGATGTCCGATTCACAAGTGAGCTGTGGAAGAAGACTGCAGAACAAATGGGTAGTCAACTTCAAATGACTTCAGGGAATCATCCCGAAGCCAACGGACAAGCCGAACAAATGAACAGAGTTGTACAACACTTGCTGAGGCATTACATCAAGCCCAACCAAGATGATTGGGATGAGCAGTTGCCTCTCATCGCTAGCCTGTACAATAATGCTATCCATAGCAGTACCGGCGTTAGTCCTAACCAGCTGCACTTGGGATGGAAGCCCAGATCAGCTCTAGACTTCCTCCTACCCGAAAACCGATCTGCTACAACTCCAGGCACACTAGAGTATGGTGTGCAGTATGAGAAGTTGCTGCAAGAGGCTGTCGAGCATATGAAGAAAGCTCAGCAAGCAATGATTGCTTCTGAGAATCAACATCGTAGACAGTCCACATTTCAGGTAGGGGAACGAGTCTGGGTCAAGGCTAGTGAGTTAGGACAGGAGTTCGGAATCTCTCGCAAACTAATGCCTCAATACTTTGGTCCCTGGGAAGTCCTGGATATGGTGGGAGATGAGATGGATGATCCCACATATGTCATTCGTGTCCCTGGACACCTACGCACTCACCCAGTCTTTCATGCCTCAAAGCTTGCACCTTTCGCTGAGACAGATCAATTCCCTTCCAGGAGATCGATGCTGCCCCCAACCATGGATGGACAAGTGGATATCGACGACATTGTGGATCACAGGGATATGCCTGTTCCGAAGCCGCTGGGTCGAGGAAGACCTCCTAAACCCAAGAGAGAGTATCGGGTCAGATTCAGGCATCATACGGATCCAAAAGAAGATCGGTGGTTTACCAGGAAGGAACTGATTGAGACAGCTCCTCAGGTGGTGGCAGAATATGAGAGGCTACTGAAAGGGAAGGCACCTGCGAAGTAAGCATCTCAGCGGACTTTCGAAGCTAAGGGGGATGGAATGTGAGGATTGAGCCCTCAAGTAGGGGCCTTGCCATGATGTACATGTTCTGGGCTAAGGCCCCAGCAAGCCTCGTGCCCGAACTAAGTGAAGGCGGGCCAGGAAAACAACAAGAGCCCTCTGTGCCAACATTTCACGAAGTGGGGTCCATACAGTTGCAGCACGCCAGTTGGTTGGAGTGCACCGAGTCTCGGATTTCAGC